AGTGACATGCAAGCTGCCCACCCACCACAGTTTTATTTTCCTCTCTCTGTTTCTCTGTTTGTCTCTTGCCATTCATTCCATCTTTATGCTTCCCTATTCTTCCCTCACTCCTGCTTAGACAGGTCTGGGAGAGGTAATGGCTGCATGATTGTGGTCAGAGAGTGGACTTCTTACTGGATGGCCTCAGTGTGTATGTGTATGTAGCATCCATTATTCCCCTGAATGTCCAGACAGTGTGAGGGTCCCTGCTCTGTGTGATATCAGTGACTCTGTCCAGAATCAGAAAGGAGTACTCAAGAAGGCAAAAAACAAGTATTCTTGTACAAAAACACGTTTTAATTCAATACTGCAAAATTCTGGAAACAAATTTGGCAAAATGTTTTGTTCTCATTGTTTTAGTCACTATTGCATCTCAATAACCATATTATCCACAGCATAAAAGCATTTTCTAAATTTACTCTGTTATCATTCACAGATTGCATTTCTGAAAAGTGATATTTGTTACTTCTTTCTTACCCTGTCTAACACACACACAAAGTCAAGCGCATCCCCACCCCCATTCAATGCAAGGGTGCACACACACACACACACACACACACACACATTTCACTAACCTTGTGGGGGGACACAATTGATTCCCCTTCAAAATCATATTTTCCTAACCTAATCCCAAAACTTAACCTTAACCTTTAACCCCTAACCCTAACCATAATTCTAACCCTAATTTTAACCTTAACCCTAAACCCCATAGAAATATACTTTTTCCTTGTGGGGACTAACAGAATGTCCCCAGTTGGTCAAATTGTTGTTTATTTACTATTCTTGTGGAAACTTCTGGTCCCCACAAGTATAGTTAAACACACACACAGAGACACACACTCTGCAGTAGTTTCACACAGACCCTTCTGTGCATTAACATTTGCTTCTGTGGAGTTTAACAAGGTTGACTGAGGTTTTGGGTTAGGTTAGATTCAGATGTTGTGGTGAACCGTGTCCAATCTATTGTATGTTTGAGTAGACCAGAATGCACTGTAGGTGATGTTGATAGTGCTGATGCAGCCTCTAGTCTTGGTACAGGGAGGGTTGGGGCTTACAGGTGCAATTGGGACCACCAACATACTAGCAACAGGGTTGCTTGTACAGTACATATTCTTACACTCACGCACATACATACACACACACATGCAAACAGTTCTACACACTTCAACAAAATGCACCCCATAACATTCAGCAAACCCTGTTTCGACCCGCCTACCGATGGGCTTGCACAGGTTCCAGTGTTTTTATGGAAGTGTCTGTGTGAGCTTTGTGTAGGTGCCTTCTTCAAAAACGTTCACAAACAAAAACACGCTCTTGGAATTGTTCTATTGCTTTCTGACATTACACACTCCTTAGATTCTTCAGTATGTTTCTCACGGACTGTCGCATGAACAAACATTATTGATGAGGCTGTGAAAGCACTTTTTTCTGTTGACTAGTTGAGTTAAAGTTGAGTTATTAAAGAGTCTTCATGCTTCTCTGCGTTAAAGTTTTCAGTCTTTTCTGTACACTGGTGGCAGGTGGCTACCATAACAGGGTCTCCAACAACATGAATGCTGGGAGAGCTGAATGCCACACTACTGTATGATATGTAAAGGAGCATTTCCTGTGATGTCACTTCCTCTTTAACGGTGCATTGTTGATTGATGGCTGGGTGTAGCTGAGGCAACATGCTGGATGTGTCACGATGTGTGTGATGGTCAGGACCTCCAATCACATTTCCCTAACTGTCCTGTCTTAACCTGATGAGAGAAAAAAAACAACTTGGCGGAGGTTCTCTTCTGCACTGTTGAACCAATCTAGTAAATGTGGAGGATGAGTTAAGATGGAGTGTCGTCTTGTTAATGTCCAAAAGCGGAAGTCGCATCACAGGCTCTTTTTCAGTTTCCCCTGAAAACCGGATGCAATCGCTTTCCTCCGACCCCGCAGAGGGTGCTCCTGTCTCCTTAGGCCTGCTTTCTGATTGGACAAAAGTATATTGTATGTTACCCCTGATCTTTGACTGAGCTGGAACGTTTGCGAGAGCAGAGAAGATTGCTTTCTGATTATATTATAACAGCGCTGATTATTGATAAGGCAAAAACTGAAAAACAAGAGTCTGTCCATTCTGTTTGTTGTCTTTAATGACTTTCTGACTTCTCTGATGAAGAGGCGTCATCTTCATCCTCTTCGGCCCTTATGCCACCTGAGTTAGTTTGACCCTGCCTCGCTCCATTCACCAACTGATTCCACAGTGTTCTATCTCCGCGCTCTTTCCCTCAACCAACCAATCAGATGCTGCCGTATCTCCTCACAGCCAATCAAGAGCTGTTTCAGATGACTGACAGAGCCAGAGTGGGCAGGGCCTGATGGTTTACAGCGTCTCCCCACAGAATAAGATGTCCAAAAGCAGGGCAGGTAGGCACATACATGTCCAGAAAGCCCTCAGGGTATTGGACGAGATTTAGGTTTTGTTGTTTTGAGTGACGGGCACTTGAACACCTTTCTGTCCGGTTGCTATGGAAACATGAAATGGCAGAGGAGCCAAGAGTCAAAAATACTTTTTGAAAAATGTACTGTACAAAGTGCATAAACGGTTTCATGCATGCTATTACATGTAAGTCAGACATTCAGAACTGTAACTCACCCAATCTGTACTTCTCTTTGGCTTCGGCCCGCTCCTTGGCATCAAAGTACCAGACAGTGATGGCATAGCTGTAACACACGATGATCTGATCAGACTGAGATTCTCAGCTCATGAGCAAGTACAGACCAATTCAGTACAGTATAGTACAGCATAGGAAAGAATAGGAGGGTTAAGTCTGTGCTATATATGGTCAGTGGAGGGTTAAGTCTGAGCTGGTTTTGGACAGTGGAGGGTTAAGTCAGGGTTATTGCCTCTCCTGTGGGGCTTCTCAGTGGGGTTGTATTGTTTATTCCTGTCTCTCTCCCTCAAGCACGAGAGCTGCAATTCAACCAACAACTGCCCCCCTACCGCCCTCCCTCCCTCCACCCCTGACCCTGCTCCCAGTCAGGAAATACGTTCTTCCTGTCCTGAGCCCCACCTCACTCCCCAGCTGTCAGACAGAGAGGAGAGGACGAACTCATGAACTAGAATCAAGCCAATGACGTGTCACATTTTTGTTGTGTACTTCTGACTAATGCGTTCCAGGATTCAGCACATAGATGAAAAAATCATGTGCATGATCACAACATCAGGCAGGAGTCTGAATAGGCTCTGGCTGAGTTCATACTTCTCTCAACAGTGGATCATCAGCATGAGAGTGGATCTATAATTTGTTAAAGGGATACTACGGGATTTTGGCAATGAAGCCCTTTATCTACTTCTCCAGAGTCAGATGGACTCACGGATACCATTTTGATGTTGTCTGCATGCAGTTTGAAGGAAGTTGCTAACTAGTGTTAGCGCATGCTAGTAGACACCATAGACTATTTAGCATTGAATCACGAAACTACCTCTAACTTCCTTTGTACTGGATGCAGAGACATACAAATGGTATCCATGAGTTCATCTGACAAATCCGAAGTATCCCTTTAATAGAGCATGTAAAAGCTTCCCCAACACCATTAGGAGCCTTTAGTGAACATATACTGTACTGTGTGTGAAGGAGATAAAGTGGGTTAGCGGTTGTAAGGGCTCGGCAGAGAGAGGAAGTGTTTGGGGGGTGAGTGGATGTGGCACACTTTCTGGGAACTGAAAGCAGTGTGAGTCCTCTACAAATACCTCTCTGTGTATGACTTTATGTGTGCCTTAGCGCATACTGCATACTTCATCACATGGTAAATCTCTGTTTGCGTATACAGTACCTATGGGACATGTGTATGTGTGTGTGTGATTGAATACATTGCAGCTCAGTGAGCATGCAGTGACTTTGTAAGTGTACATACTGTATCACCTCTCAAATCAAATCAAATCAAATCAAATTTTATTGGTCACATGCGCCGAATACAACAGGTGCAGACATTACAGTGAAATGCTTACTTACAGCTCTCTGACCCCAGTGTGAGTCTATGTCAGCATGCATTTGTGTGTGTGTGTGTGTGCGTGGGGAGAGGTTATACGGGCACACCTGATGACGTATGTCACGCAGCTGAGAGTCGAGTGGATTTGGTTCAGTCAGTTATCCTGATGAGCCCTTCCCAGCTAGCTAGGTCACCAACAGCAGCATGGTGCTAGTTCAAACTTGTAAAAGAAAGATGTTTATTTAGATGGGCGAGGGAGAAATAACTTGTAGTATTGGTCACCATCTGGATGTCACCGTGACATGCCAATTAACATGACGACAAGCAGGTGCAAATTACCATTGCAACGCCATTGTATCGAGGTGCTATGCAGTTGCTTCCCACCGGGCAGCTGTATCACATGTCGCTGGCGGGAGTTAATGTAGCCAATTTGTTCCATCCCACTTGATTTTATTTAGAGTAGGATAGCAGCCTACACAACAAAAAAAACGTGTAATACTGCATTGGTAGTAACCATGTCACCATGATACAGTCTAACGTTACTGCTCAACAGGGAGAGTTTGTGCCGCATGCCGGCAACATAACAACACCAAGGGGCACAGTGTCCTTTGCTCCTGTCTGGCAGTTAGGAGAGGGAAGTGGCTAGATAGTGTATCCAATATCAGGCCAGGATGACAGCTAAAGTTTACAACTACGGCATTAACGTCAACAAATAAAACGAACAATTACTCCGATTTGAAAATGGAATGATTCTGAACACTCTCCCACGTCACAACTTCAGCAGACAAGTTTCAAATTCTCACTGAACTTTCTAGCCACAAGCATAAATTAGCTAGCTGGGAAGGGCTCATCAGGACGACTGACTGAACTAACTGAAACAACTCGACTATCAGCTGCGCAACATACGAAATAAATTTGGGCATCAAGGGTGTCCTTATAGCCTCTCCTGTGTGTGTGTGTGTGTGTGTGTGTACGTGCGTGGCTGCATGTGTGGTCACTCACCGTGTAGCATAGGCTGGCTTAACCTCGTGTGGGTTCCTGCGGTCGGACCAGAAGATGAGCAGACGGTCAAACAGCGGTTCTATGTTGGCCACCACACTCTTCCCCTCTGGATAGATCTGCAGCAGACCTCCTTGAACCTGACAACACACACAAATAGGTTTCATGTTAGATGCACAGTGTCTTATCCATAGCCTTGAGGTTAGCGAGGCAGGCGAGTAGCCGGAGGGTTGCCGGTTCGAAACCCAGGGCTGACAGGGAAAATCTGGTGGGACTGTAAAGTACAGCTATATTAGATGTATGAGACTCAATGTTCCATTGTACCTTGACATCCCAGTTCTTGTTGAGATAGTAAATGCAGGTGATGCAGCGGCCGTCACTGTTAGGGTTGTCCACGTGACGGATGTACCCCGTGCCGTTACCTGGGTAACAGGCCACCATAGCCTGAGGAGAGAAGACGGGGATGTTACAGTCGGTTACAGTAAGAACACACACCTCTCCAGACTGCCTTTAAAGAGTGACTGCCCCTAAAAACAACTAATCCCTTTGAAAACGGCATTTACACTACAAAGTGTAAATCTGATAATTTTGGTCATAAAGTCGGTTGGGTTTGGATTACAATTATGCCAAGCTCCACGTGCAAATTTCCCCTCTGCCCACTTTGCTTCCCATTATTGAATGGGGCTCGGTTGATTTATCGCCCCCCCAACCAACGCATTCAGAGGATCACGGCCGTTTGAGACTGAAAAGCCCTATACAGATTGACCATGCAATGCATGCTTCCAGCAGGATGCACAGCCAACAGCTATGGTTTGCATGCCCTGCCGAAGGACCCTATATCATGCAGAATAGGTGGTTGGAGTTCATTGGTCCCCAGTGGTGGAGAGTATATTGGTAGCTAGACAATAGACTGCTGGTTATGTATATTTTGATAATCATTATCACCATCATCGCTAGCATAGATGACGTTAGCTAGTTAGCTACCAACTAGCTAGCTACCTAACTAGCAAGCTAGCTAACGTTAGCCTACCTCAATACAACTCGGATTTGGCATGGAAATACGATAACATCCTGATTGCGATCATCATGATTGTAATGTCGCCAGATTGACTTTAGATGCAGTATACTGTAACTTTAGCCAGCTAACTAAGATTGAAGGGAGCACCATATTTAAGCTAGCTAGCGTTAGCATTGCTAGCTAGCTATTTTTGATGAACTTTGCTAACAGTAATGGCAACATTGCCATCTTATGGCAAAGTTGTTTCCTACTAATTATTTGCCTACTTTAGCAATGCAATCGTATTTCCATGCCATTCTAAGTTAGTGTAATTTAGACTAAACAGTCACATTAGCCTCTGATGTGCAACCCATGTCTAGGGCACAAATTAATATTGGATGCAGCTATGGTGGTACTAACTAGCTAACTCATGTCTGACTACAACAGTGTACTAACTAGCAGCAACAAACTTAAACCAACCCAGGGCCATAGCAAAACATGTCACAGTTGGTTGCATAGTGTAACGGCGTCACCGGTCTGAATCTAATCCAATCTGTAGCCAGTCAGTCTACATATGTAAAGCTTAGAATTAGCTTCCATAATGTTTATAATTGAGGGATGATGACATTCGTTGACCCTGTTTTTCTGATAGACAAAGTGCACAGTTTGGGTGCCAGACTGATCCCCTGGTCATGAATGGATTCCAGGACCTACCAGAAGGAGCAAAGCTGAATTTCATAACATGTCCAGCAATGTGATTGCAATGGTTTAGCGACCTCCAAAAATAATTTCATTCACTGTTCATTTGCCATTTTCACAGCTTGTCAGGTAAGACCTCAGAATAAAAGTGTGTATTGCGACACAAGTACCCTTGCCAGTCTCCCTTGACTCCAATGAAAAGGACATGCCATCATGAGGCATAACTGAACAGTGACTATGTGTGTATGTGTTTACAGAAACATGTGTGGAGCCAGCACATGGAAACTTGCAAGATGATGTGATGAAGTCCAGACTGACAGATGGGCTTGATACTGATGTCTCTGAATGGAGAGAGACCTGGCACTCAGTATTAACATTTTAGTAGACAGGGAACTCCTGTTGTATACGGGACACAGGAAGGTATGACCATTCTGACATGTTTGCCCCATTACCACCACCAGTATCTGTATCGGTTGGGAATGACAATGAAAGGTGCACATTGTTATATTATTGCATCTGAGCTCCTAGAGTGTGCAGCTCTCCTTTTCTTTTTCAAGTGTTCTACTCCGTTAGCCAGCACCTCGCCTAAACAGGTGTGTGTTTATTTCGCCTGCACATTATTATATTAGCAGAACACTGCTTCTATGGTATTATGTAAAGGGTTGTTTATTCTACATCAATGGTCACAAATCGGTCGATCGCGATCAACTGGTCGATCTTCAAAGCATTCCTAGTCGAGCACCAAACATTTCTGTAGAAAGCTTGCACATTTTTTTTTTGTGTTGCGCTGTTGGCGGTAGGTGCACTTGATTCAGAAGCCCTGGAAACCTAACGGCCAAACAGGGAAATGATTCCAATCGTTTTTCCACCATTCATTTTTCCCATAGGGGATTTTATAAACACTTAAAATAAGGTTTGTGTTTCGTGTCATGACATTTTGATAACCATGTAAATCTCTCTCAGACAAGGTGACTTTTATCAGTATATTCGGCTCTATTTACTCTCAGATTCGAAAATGCTAATTAGCATCAAAGTAGACATCATGCAAAACTACAAATCCCTGCAAGCTCCTGCACGTCATCTCTAGCTGACACCTTTGCTAACAGGTATTGTGTCAATTCAAAATTTGCACAAGACAGTTCACAGAATTGTCAATTTAAAGAAATGTTGCCAATTTATTAATGACTACATTTAACTAACATTAGATAGTTAATCCTCGATTCAGCAGTCTCGTCCAAATCATCATGGAATTTGTGATTGCTTTATGATAGCCACATTAGCAGCTAATTAGCATTTCATTTTTTGGGGGGGGAATACAGGCGAATATATTGATAAAAGTCACCTTGTCCGAGAGAGATTTACACGGTTATCAAATAGTGACGCCAGGGTAAGCCTACACGGAACACAGCCCTTATTTGAAGTGTTTCTAAAATCTCCTATGGGAAAAATGAATGGTGGAAAAACGATTGGAACCATTTCCCTGTTTGACCGCTAGGTTTTATGGGGATTATGACTCATACTGTGGTACTCCATGATGTGTCTTGGTGGTGGCAAGGCTGTGTTAAAGACTAGTCCATGTGCTTCTCTAGGGATGTGTGTGTCTGAATGGGCTGGGAGTACACATTCCTCCGCTGCACGCAACTATGTGAAAAGGTCACTGACACTAACACCACATTTCATATAGGCTGCGTTTACACAGGCAGCCCATTTCTGATCTTTTTTTCACTAATTTGTCTTTTGACCAATCAGATCAGCACTGAAAAAGATCTGATGTGATTGGTCAAAAGACGCATTAGTGGAAAAAATTTCAGAATTGGGCTGCCTGTGTAAACGTAGCAATATTAGCACATCATGTTCAAGTCAAAAAAATATATATATACCTTATTTACATAAGTATTCAGACCCTTTGCTATGAGACTCGAAATTGAGCTCAGGTGCATCCTGTTTCCATTGATCATCCTTGAGATGTTTCTACAACTTGATTGGTGTCCACCTGTGGTAAATTCAATTGATTGGACATGATTTGGAAAGACACACACCTGTCTATATAAGGTCCCACAGTTGACAGTACATGTCAGAGTAAAACCCAAGCCATGAGGTCGAAGGAATTGTCCGTAGAGCTCCGAGACAGGATTGTGTCGAGGCACAGATCTGGGGAAGGGTACCAAAACATTTCTGCAGCATTGAAGATCCCCGAGAACACAGTGGCCTCCATCATTCTTAAATGGAAGAAGTTTGGAACCACCAAGACTCTTCCTAGAGCTGGCCGCCCAGCCAAACGGAGCAATCAGGGGAGAAGGGCCTTGGTCAGGGAGGTGACCAAGAACACGATGGTCACTCTGACAGAGCTATAGAGTTCCTCTGTGGAGATGGGAGAACCTTCCAGAAGGACAACCATCTCTGCAGCACTCCACCAATCAGGCCTTTATGGTAGAGTGGCCAGACGGAAGCCACTCCTCAGTAAAAGGCACATGACAGCCCGCTTGGAGTTTGCCAAAAGGCACCTAATGGACTCTCAGACCATGAGAAACAAGATTCTCTGGTCTGATGAAACCAAGATTGAACTCTTTGGCTTGAATGCCAAGCGTCATGTCTGGAGGAATCCTGACACCATCCCTACGGTGAAGCATGGTGGTGGTAGCATCATGCTGTGGGGATGTTTTTCAGCGACAGGGACTGGCAGACCAGTCAGGATCGAGGCAAACGTGAACGGAGCAAAGTACAGAGAGATCCTTGATGAAAACCTGCCCCAGAGCGCTCAGGAAGGCGAAGGTTCACCTTCCAACAGGACAACGACCCTAAGCATACAGCCAAGACAACACAAGATTAGCTTCGGGACAAGTCTCTGAATGTCCTTGAGTGGCCCAGCCAGAGCCCGGACTTGAACCCGATCGAACATCTCTGGAGAGACCTGAAAATAGCTGTGCAGCGACGCTCCCCATCCAACCTGACAGAGCTTGAGAGGATCTGCAGAGAAGAATGGGAGAAACTCCCCAAATACAGGTGTGCCAAGGTTGTAGTGTCATACCCAAGAAGACTCGCGGCTGTAATCGCTGCCGAAGGTGCTTCAACAAAGTACTGAGTAAAGGGTCTGAATACTTATGTAAATGTGATATTTCAGTTTTTTATTTTTTATCACTTACAAAAAAATCTAAAAACCAGTTTTTGCTTTGTCATTATGGGGTATTGTGTGTAGTTTGATGAGGATTATAAAAAAATTAAAAAAATTAGAATAAGGCTGTAACGTAACAAAATGTGGAAAATGTCAAGGGGTCTGAATACTTTCCGAATGCACTTTAAATACGGTGTACCTTTTAGTTAGAATTTTGTTGACAGACTCAATAGAATATTTAGAGAGAAAGGGTTCCGAATATTAGGGATCAATGAAAGAAAGCCATCTAAATATATGCATATTCGTCTCAGTTTCAGCACCAATTGGTAGATGAAAAAATACTCTGATCTTGTAGATTTTTTAGGGTTAGGAAAGTATTTATGAATCATAAAAAACAGGTTTGGAGAGCCATTATGCACAAAACAAAGAAAACAGTGGTTTGATTCATTCTGAAAATTGCCACATTCAGTTCTTTAACCCATGGTAACGATGGAATATTAGTGTAAATATAATTATAATAGGGAGAATAGTGCACAATAGTAGGCTGTACCCTTGTCTATTGCCTGCACTAACCATGAAACTGTGTGATGATGCGCCATGCGTCGGGTTCACTCCGCTCCATAACGATTTAATTAGCCTACGTGTCTTTTAAAAAATATTATCAACTGTTACTAATGATCCTCAGCAACAACCACATGGCCGTCAGTTTGCAGAGGAACCAAATTAATGTAAACTAAACAATGTAATTAAATGGAATGATAATATAGTCTTTACCAACTGAAGGGAACTAACAGTAAATTGGCAGTTGAATATGTGTTGTTATTAGGTCTCCTGGCGGTCGATACTGATAGTGGGTAATATTTACCATGATAGAAATAGTAAACAGAGAAAGTCAGGGTAGCCTATAATTAAGATATTCGAGAGTGCCCATCCCTGTAAGTTAAAAGGCCGTACAATTTAAATTCTGCATATTGGCACAGCATTTCCTAAACTTTACTGTGGAAAAGTTGATAGGTTAATATGCTTCAGTTTATCTGCCATATGACTGGATTCACATTTGTCTCCAGTGATTAAAAGGTAAAATATATCTAAAACAAGTGTCATTTATATTTACAATTCCCTTATCCAAATGGATTACTCTTTTACCTAGCTCTTATCAATAGCTCTTATCGTTGTAAATTACAGTGCATGGAGAACAGTGTTATTTCTATCAGAACAACATTTAGTAGATTATTTTTCCACTTGGAACCGGCAGGTTCGCTAGAACTTATTAATGGTTTCCTCGTGTGTAAAGGTGGTGTAATTATTAGGGAATACGGCGTATCTGTAGACACACCTTAATTTATTCAATCTCCACCCAAAACGAATAGCAGGTGAATAGCACGCTATTCTCATGCTTAAGTTCAAGGTCAAAATATGCATAGAGAAGTGCATAAAAATTGAATTACGTTCCATTTACTTGTGCTTAACTCAAGTCGGAATCGGGCCCCTAGCCTTTGTATCTCTGCTGGGGAGGTTGTTTGGGTCAGGTTTGGTGTGTGTGTGTGTGTGTGTGTGAAAGAGAGAGGGCAGGAATGTGAGAATGTGAGCCATCAGGGTCCCGGTGACTGTGTGTTCTGTCAGGGCACTGATACTTTATCACGATTCAGGTCAGGACTTATCAGACCCTGGAGAGTACAATACACTTCATCCCCTCACCGACTCTGAACAAGAACCTTTTCTCCCTTCATTTTACTCTGCCCCTCTTTTCTCACTCTTCCACTGTCTTTTCTCTCTGTCTCCCTTTGTTTTCTCTTTCATTTTTCTCTTCATAATGATGTCATTATTTCTCCTTCTGTTCTCTCCGTCTTTACCCTCCCTCTCCTCCCTCCATTGCTCCTTCTCCTTTCTCTCCCAGCCCATCCCAGAGTACAGGGGGAGGAGTAAACACTGGTGAAGAGCGGAGGGCTGACTTCCTCTTTCACTCCAGCTAGGCTCGGTTACACAAGTTTTGGCTCAGTTATCAGCAAGGAATGAGGAGTGAGCAGGGAGAGAAGATAGTATCTTTCAGTGTCAAGCTCAGAAGCTTCAATACAAAGTGACGACAAAGTCCTTCATGTTCAAATCCACTGACTCCATTACAGTGCCGGTCAGCCTTTTGCATACTGACTGGTGAAAAGCAGCTGTGTCAAATACACAAAAAGAATGACACCCAAATACACCCATCTGTAGTCAAACCATAAAATCTGGCTCAGTCTCATTATGGAAGAGTGATACAGGCCGAAGTACAAGTGTTCCCTTCTGCCTGTGTGACTCTCTGGCCAGCCTGCCAGCCACCATTGTCTCGCCTCATTACTGCGCGGCGCTCCCATGCTGTGTGTGTTCATTAACCTCTGACTCCAGCCCCAACTGAAGGGAACTAACAGTAAGTCCTACACACACACACACACACACACACATGAGCCAGGCTAGAGCTCATCTGTGTAGAGGACAGACATATTACTGTAATCCAGATGTGATTTACTGTACTGGGATTGTTGAACGTGGCTACATAATTCAACTGATAACATTGTTGTGTATAACACACAGGACATGGACTGTAAGTAAGACTTGATTACGGATTTGGCAAGTGAACATATACAGTATAATCAGTACAGTAGTTTTTTAAGAACACTCAAAATAGGGCTGGCTGCTCTAATGTTATGTATTGTGTTTTGACAGATGGGTGGGTGGGGGGGGGGGGGGGGGGGGGGGGGTGACCCCCTAGTGGGCCAGGCTGCTTCTGGGAAATGTGATGTCAACACCACCTTACTAAGGCATTTGCGTTGATCCTGACTTTCACTGTGGAAGAGCTCTTTATCTGGGACTAAGATGGAAATCACACCGTCTCCATTCACACTGCTCTGTTGCTAAGCAATCAGTGTCAGGGCACAGAGAAATGCTGGTGAACATTTATATGTTGTCAAGCACTTCCAGTGGGCTTCCAAAATGTTTTAGTCGCTAATAGTCGCATCCTCTAACCTTGCGTCCTCTAACCTCGCTCATTACCCTCACAAAAATGTCAACGGAACAAAAGGGAAAAGCACTATAGAAGTAGATATATAGCCAATAGATGTTTGATGCTTAGTGGTAGATATACAGCCAATAGATGTTTGATGCTTAGTGGTAGATATACAGCCAATAGATGTTTGATGCTTAGTGGTAGATATACAGCCAATAGATGTTTGATGCTTAGTAGTAGATATACAGCCAATAGATGTTTGATGCTTAGTGCTAGATATACAGCCAATAGATGTTTGATGCTTAGTGGTAGATATACAGCCAATAGATGTTTGATGCTTAGTGCTAGATATACAGCCAATAGATGTTTGATGCTTAGTGGTAGATATACAGCCAATAGATGTTTGATGCTTAGTGGTAGATATACAGCCAATAGATGTTTGATGCTTAGTGGTAGATATACAGCCAATTGATGTTTGATGCTTGCACTGACCCTGGTGTTGAAGATTGCAGCCCACTGTATGTATGCATGTAGTATTTTATAAGTGGTCTTTCTTGGCCTGGGAGCATGTGCAACTTTCGCAGTCTTAATGACCCTACTTAACCACAATTAACATGTACCGTGCCATAGCACAGCCCTAGCCTGGAGGATATATACACACACACACACATAAGTGGACGCATGCACACACACACACACACACACACACACACACACACACACACACACACACACACACACACACACACACACACACACACAAAGATGAAAACGAAATTATTGTACACCAGCGTTCACATAGAGATGAGACAGTTCTAAACCAGAGCTAGTTCAGTTCTAAGCCAGTAGTCAACCAGAACTGTGAGTCAGTCAAACCGGCATATGAATGTCACAAAAGTCGTCACCAACAACGGCATCCCAGTCACTCTCCTCTCCTGTTGCTCCCAGCCCCGAGTCAGTCAAACAGCATGACAACAGCATGACCCGACGTGTCGCGATCATATCAGCCTTCTTCAATCTCTCTTCAATCTCTCAGCGCCTCTATGCCAATCTAATGGGCACCACTGGCACCAACATTAATGCCCTAATATCGTTGCCTCCTGTCTCATGTCTCTGCCCGCATGCCTGCCTGCCAAGATGAAGGCCAGAGAGAGAGAACAGGCTGTTCCTGGAAAGAAGAAAAATAAAGGGCCGAGCACGCAGGCATAGCATACTGCCAGCAGATAAGAGGCATGAAGGACAGAGGCAGGAGGGAGATAAGGCTGAACAAACACAGGGCCTGATTCTGAAGAGACAGACACACAGACAGACAGGGGAGAGGGGAGAGCATCAGTGTAGTGCTAGGCTAACTAGCACTGGGATAGGTTGCGACTGAAATGACTGCAACACTTAACAAAGAGCTGCAGTTAGTTTCAGAGTGGGTGGTAAGGAATAAGTTAGTCCTAAATATTTCTAAAACTAAAAGCATTGTATTTGGGACAAATCATTCACTAAACCCTAAACCTCAACTAAAGGTAATAAATAATGTGGAAATTGAGCAAGTTGAGGTGACTAAACTGCTTGGAGTAACCCTGGATTGTAAACTGTCATGGTCAAAACATATTGATACAACAGTAGCTAAGATGGGGAGAAGTCTGTCCATAATAAAGCGCTGCTCTACCTTCTTAACGGCACTATTAACAAGGCAGGTCCTACAGGCCCTAGTTTTGTCGCACCTGGACTACACTGTCGTGTGGTCAGGTGCCACAAAAAGGGACTTAGGAAAATTGCAATTGGCTCAGAACAGGGCAGCACAGCTGGCCCTTGGATGTACACAGAGAGCTAATATTAATAATATGCATGTCAATCTCTCCTGGCTCAAAGTGGAGGAGAGATTGACTTCATCACTACTTGTATTTATGACAGGTATTGACATGTTGAATGCACTGAGCTGTCTGTTTGTACTACTGGCGCACAGCTCAGACACCCATGCATACCCCACAAGACATGCCACCAGAGGTCTCTTCATAGTCCCCAAGTCCAGAACAGACTATGGGAGGAGCAGAGTACTACATAGAGCCATGACTACATGGAACTCTATTCCACATCAAGTAACTGATACAAGCAGTAAAATTAGATTTAAAAAACAGATAAAAATACACCTTATGGAACAGCGGGGACTGTGAAGCAATACAAACATAGGTGCAGACACATGCATGCACACACACGATAACATACGCACTATACACACACATACACATGGATTTTGTACTGTAGATATGTGGTAGTGGTGGAGTAGGGGCCTGAGGGCACACAGTGTTTTGTGAAATCTGTGAATGTATTGTAATGTTTTTAAAATGGTATAAACTGCCTTAATTTTGCTGGACCCCAGGTGGCAGCAGCTAATGGGGATCCATAATAAATACAAATACAGGGCTGGGGATTTGCCAGGCTGAGTTTAGCTGAAGTGGGCCTGTGTGGGTTATACTGGACTGGGCTGATGTGAGCAGTGCTATGATGTGCTGGCAAATTCTGTGCCGATCAGACAGTGATAAATATGTTGGACTGAGGTGAACTCTGTGTGCTCAGCTGGCCTGTGTATTTCTGGATGAGTCAGTAAGGCTGAGCTAAGGACAGACGGAGCCTGTCCAGGGATCGATACAGGGACATTGGGTTCTATGCCTCTCTGTGGACCTGCAGTAAGCTGCCTGTCTCGGGCCTGACTAACCAGCTGAGCTGACATTGACATAAGTTCATGAAGTAATGCAGGCTCTGTCGTAGCCGGCCGTGACCGGGAGACCCATGGGGCGGCACGCAATTGGCCCAGCGTCGTCCAGGGTAGGGGAGGGAATGGCCGGCAGGGATGTAGCTCAGTTGATAGAGCATGGCGTTTGCAACGCCAGGGTTGTGGGTTCGATTCCCACAGGGGGTATGAAAAAAATAATAATAATGTAAGTCGCTCTGGATAAGAGCGTCTGCTAAATGACGTAAATGTCAATGTAATGCGTCATGCCTGTCTGTGAATTATTGGAAGCAAATAGGAAAGATAGGAGTGTTACAGGTTTATTTTTAGTGATATAAACTATATTGGATATTCAAACATTAAATCACATTATATTTCCATCTTTCTCTTCACCTCTCTAATCTTATATCCATCTTCTCACAGTTTCCATACTAAAATCAACTCTTATCACTTTCCCTCCGCTGCAGCTGAGTGTGTACTTGTTCATGTGTCAAGTATCTAGCAGAAAAAGCTGATCAGCCTTGATGAGTCATGCCTGGTGATGGACCCCATCTTGCATGAGTCACACGAACCACAGGACTGAGAGTGTGTCTGTGTGTGTGTGTGTGTGTGTGTGTGTGTGTGTGTGTGTGTGTGTGTGTGTGTGTGTGTGTGTGTGTGTGTGTGTGTGTGTGTGCCTGAGCGTGTGTGTGAGCACACTCCACCATTTCCAGTAACCTGACAAAGCAGTCATTTATACTATGTACACTCTCTATTTAATTTTCATACACTCTGTCTCCCCTGCTCTGTAAATCAGAACATCACACTACAGAGTGACTCTTTATGCAAACACATACGCAACCAACCCAGCCTACTCTCAGCAACATCTGAGACCACGCACACACACGCAAACAAACACAATGTAAACACACAGGCATTCACACACTACAACAGTGACACACTGAATTTCAAACCCAAGATGGAGTGCATTTGGCCAGTCCTCTCTGTATGTGAGAATCACTTAAAAGGTGGGTGGGTGGGCACGTATGCATAAGTAGAGATGTGTGAATGTTTAGCATAGAACACCAAACCGCAGTCCGGAATGACCTCAGAGTCAGTATGAGTCATCGACCCCTGCTATACAAAGCTCCAAAACAAGATGATTACACAAGAACCAGGCCCTTCCAGAGCCTACTCTCCCTGGACAAACAACAAGCACTTAAAATCCCCTAGGAGGCCACCCAGAGAAAAGTAAATACTCATCTTTAAAACTGTTTTGCATTCGAGTGAAATGGTTACATTATCATTCTGCCTTCTGTAAAGTGAGAGCAGTGTGATCCTCTCAGTACCTTAAAGCCTATATAAAGCTCTCGTCATTTTTTTTAGATATCTCTTTGTCTTAGCAGCTAGCTTGGTACTGCATCGTGTGTGCGCTAGGCTAAAGGCTAGTTGCTAGCATCTCCCTGGCTGTTCCTGTATGCAGCAGCGCGGCTGGCTCTCTGGGAGGGGCATCTGAGGGCACGCTGCACCAGACACTCATTATGATCCGGCTGCCGCTGCTGCATCGCGCGCTGCCCTCTATACCTCCTCTCATCTCATCGCACTCCTTCGAAACCACATCCATCTCTCCCTACCTAATATATCTTCCTCTTCCTCCTCTCTTCCTTCTCTCTTCACCTACTACTCTCTCTCTCTCTCTCTCTCTCTCTCTCTCTCTATCCATCTCTCTCTCCACCGCTCTTTCTCTGCCTCTTTTCTTGTGATATACTGTCGCTGCTGTGTTGTGCTTGGATGCAGCTAGACCTGGTTTGTGTTTGCTGAGCGTGCATTGGGCTCTAGCTGATGCTACGGTGGCATTATTCTTGGCACACACACTGCAGTGCTACGCTCTGTATGGCCCTGTTACCAAGGAAACGGAGGGGAAATAGTTTGGCAGACAAGCTAGAGAGGGGCTGATAAGACGCAGGAGAAAGGGAGTGGGAGAGAGGACCGAAAGAGAGAAGGGGGGGGGGGGGGGGGGGGGGGGGAAAGAGGGAACAACGAGAAAGATGGACAAAGGAAATAATAGATACACAACAATGGAGAAAAACAATAGTGGGGGACATAGTACTTACTGAACCATATAGACAGTAGGCTATTACAGATCAGAGCTACGTACAGATCGACATAGGAAAAGGAAATCAAGTTTCAGGTTGGGGGCGGGGGGTTAATGTATATAGCTTTTGTTGTGATTCTGTTGTGATTTAAAAACCAATAAATAAAAACTATTAAAGCTACAATATGTAACTTTTTGGGAGACCTGACTAAAGTCACATAGAAATGTGAGTTATAGATCTGTCATTCTCATTGAAAGCAAGTCTAAGAGGCGGTAGATCTGTTCTATGTGCGCTATTTATATGCTTCCCTTTCTTAAGTTTCGTTTTTTGCGTCTTTTACGTTCGGTTTTGTACACCAGCTTCAAACAGCTGAAAATACTATATTTGGGGTTATTGAAAATATATTTCACTGCGGTTTAGATGGTACAGTGATGCTCTACACTATATATTGCTTGTTTTGTCACAAACTGAAATTAGGCAAACTATTTGCAACCAGGAAATGGCGGAGCGATTTCTGCATTTTTCACATAAAAAAAACAAAAAAGATTACAGCGCAGAGAACTGCTGGTGCAATGACCTTGTAAATTAGCATCACACCTCCCTCCCTTTCTGTTCCTCTAATGTTTGCCTCACCCACCCCCACCCCCTCAATTCATACCTTGATCTATGACTCATTGCTACTGTTCTATCAACTTCCACCACACTACATAACACACAGCAAGGACATTCTTTCCGTTTCAAGATGGCACAGTATGCCAAGGCTAGAGTAGGGGCAGGGACATTGGCTTGTGGCTCAACTAATCCATTTACCATTAGCTGCCTGCCTGCCACACTCATGGAGCAGAGCAAGCATAACCTTTGACCTGGAAGCAGAATAGTCAGTTCCATGACAGAGGAGCAAAGGGCTGATGTCTGGGAGAGTGACATCTCTGTTCAAACACATGTCACTGTGGGGGCAAGGTGTATCTGTGGCCCCGTGTAGCTCAGTTGGTAGAGCATGGCGCTTGCAACGCCAGGGTTGTGGGTTCGTTTCCCACGGGGGGCCAGTATGAAAAATGTATGCGCTCTGGATAAGAGCGTCTGCTAAATGACGTAAATGTAAATGTATCTCTTTACTTCTCCGACTGGGTCAACTTACAGCTGCGGTTTGATAATGTAGTGTACACACACACTGCACTGGGATGGTATTCACTGCACCCCAGGAGAGGTGTAGATCCCAAATGTATTCTGACAGCTCTGACCCACTGAACACTGGTACTGCTGCTACCCCTCACATCTCTACTGCACACACAGTGTCAACCCTGGAACTGGTGCCCCGCTCGCACTCTAGCCTAAATCCACAACTACTACAGTACCACTATGACAACTACCCTACCTTACAGCTACTACTACTTCTAAGGCTACAACTATTACTACTACTACTACTTCTAAGGCTACAACTATTACTACTACTACTACTAACCTAAATCACAACTGGGCAATTCCACTGTAATGGAAATACACTGTCACGTCTACTCCTGCTCCCCCCTCCGGTGCTCGAGGTCACCAGTTCACTCATCATTACGCACACCTGCCACCATCGTTACGCGCACCTGCGCTTAATTATGGGACTCACCTGGACTCCATCACGTCATTGATTACCTCCCCTATATCTGTCACTCCTTCAGGTTCATTCCCCAGTCAGCATTGATGTTGTTATGTTTCTCATGTCCAGATGCTGTTCTTGTTTTGTTATATGTTTATTTATTATTAAAGCCTCACCCTGTACTTGCTTCTCGTCTCCCAGTGTCTGCGTTACAGAATGCTGACTCTCTAATTGGAAGCAACAGGGATTTTTCTGGTGACGTCAGGTCAGAATGCCACAGCCGACGCAACCGCCCATGCCTTAACTGGCTCGTCAGGCTCCCATGCCTCAGCCGGCTCGTCAGGCTCCCATGCCTCAGCCACCTCATTAGGCTCCCATGCCTCAGCCGGCTCGTCAGGCTCCCATGCCTCAGCCGACTTGTCAGGCTCCCATGCCTCAGCCACCTCATTAGGCTCCCATGCCTCAGCCGGCTCGTCAGGCTCCCATGCCTCAGCCGACTTGTCAGGCTCCCATGCCTCAGCCACCTCATTAGGCTCCCATGCCTCAGCCGGCTCGTCAGGCTCCCATGCCTCAGCCGGCTCGTCAGGCTCCCATGCCTCAGCCGACTTGTCAGGCTCCCATGCCTCAGCCACCTCATTAGGCTCCCATGCCTCAGCCGGCTCGTCAGGCTCCCATGCCTCAGCCGGCTCGTCAGGCTCCCCTGGCTCAGCCGGCTTGTCAGGCTCCCATGCCACAGCCGGCTCAACAGGTTCCCGCGCCTCAGCAGAAGCGACCGGTCCCCGGGTCTCAGGAGAAGCGACTGTTCCACCCCTGGTCCTCGGGACCGTCCATCTGGTCGGCGTTGTCCTGCGGCTCCTCAGCTGGCTCGACAGGTTTCCGCGCCTCAGCAGACGCGACCAGTCCCCGGGTCTCAGGAGAAGCGACTGTTCCGCCCCTGGTCCTCGGAACCGTCCCTCTGGTCAGCGTTGTCCTGCGGCTCCTCAGCTGGCTCGACAGGTTCCCGCGCCTCGGCTGGTTCGTAAGGTTCCATTGCCTCAGCAGAGGCGATCGGCCTCCAGGTCTCAGGAGAAGCAACTGTTCCGCCCCTGGTCCTCGGGACCGTCTCTCTGGTCAGCATCATCCTGTGGCTCCTCGGCTGGCTTGACAGGTTCCCGTGCCTCAGCCGGCTCGACAGGCTCCCGTGCCTCAGCTGGCTCGACAGGCTCCCGTGCCTCAGCCGGCTCGTCAGGCTCCCGTGCCTCAGCCGGCTCGACAGGCTCCCCTGCCTTAGCTGGCTCTACAGGCTCCCGTGCCTCAGCCGGCTCGACAGGCTCCCCGTGCCTCAGCGAGCTCGACAGGTTCCGGCTGCCGGGTCTCAGGAGAAGCATCTTATCTGACCCTGGTCAGCGTCGGCCTGTGGCCTAAGCAGCGCGTCCGGGGGGGTACTGTCACGTCTACTCCCGCTTGTTTTGTTTCATTTATTATTAATTTCACTCCCTGTACTTGCTTCCCGACTCCCAGCGTACATATTACATACGCTGAGATTTTTTACTTTAAAATGTATGTCAAACAAAAAACATTGATTTCAACGCACAATGACTACTTTGAACAATTTACACAGTAAATAAATAAAAACACTTTTACTGGAAAAGCTTGATAATAGAATTACTGTATCATCTCATTTTTATTTGTTTACCAAACGTTGTATCTGCAAACTTTGAAATCAATGGTTTTTGTTTGGTATACATTTCAAAGTGAACAAATTTGAGTCTCAGCGTAATTCCGTTACCATGGAATTGCCCAACTACTACCACAAGTGAGGCTACAACTACCTCAACTATTATTATTACTACTACTACCCTACATTATAGCTACTACTACTACTTCTATTAAGGCTACAACTACCACTACTACCCCCTCTACCACTTTCATCATGACTTCTATCCCCACCACCACTACTTCTGCCACTATAAATATTTCAAATAAATATTTCACTTCAACCTCCTTGAGTAAATGTGTTGTAACATAGTCTAGACAGTCCTGCAATGGCTAACACCACTGATAAGAGGCAGACACTGGGGTCATGGTGCAGTAGTGAACAACTGAGATAATATATTAATACAACATAGTCACTAGGTTGCAGATTATATCAAAGTGACTTACAGTGAACACATAGGGTTATATTCAGTATAATGTACTGTGGCTTATGCAGGACTCAAACCATGCTCTAGTCTAGTTGGACTAAGGACTAGATAGGGCTGAACCCTGCTTTGGGAGAGGGCTGAGAAACTGGGTCAGGGTGGGATGGAAACCTAGGGGAATGCATTGAGATTGGGTGAGACCGATGTAGGACCGTGACATAACCTGACTCAAATATCCAGACCTGCGTCACTGAGCAAGCTCACTGACAGCTTACAGCACTGCAGCCAACTAGGCTCTGTATGGGCTAGTAGGGATCGGGCAAAATCAACTACCGCTCTTTGGTCATCTAACTGAAGTCAGTCAATTCAGGAAGTAAACTGAAATTCCACTTCAATAATTGAAAAGGGTTTTTTATTTTCAGTAAATTGTTAATAAACGGAAAAGGAGAAACTATTCATTAAAAAAAAAATATATATTTTTTTTTTACTTCCTGAATTGAGTGACTTCAATTCAAATTGACCCCAACCCTGTTGGTCATGTCTGGCCATTGTCTAAGCTTGTAATATCGAAGTTTTACGCTATGCTAAGGATGGTTAAAAATAACCACTCTTTCATACATTCATATTCTCAAACACACAAAGTCGGAAACGATCTAAACAAATGCATACATACATAGCCATACAAATGTAGCCTATGATAGGCTAGGCAAGCAAACAATGAAACATACACAGCCATCCAAACAGACACCAACCAATCAAACAAACGCACACCCCCCTACCAAACCAGCCACAAGAATGCCTTGTTTGTGTACGGGTGAGAGATAGAGATTGACAGAGAGGTCTTCAAAGCTAGTGAAACAATGATCTCAAACCAGATAGGTCCAGAAGGTTGTCTTGCTGCCAGCGGTATGAGAACATTGGCATCACCAGTGGCATGACAATAGGGGCATACTGGCATACACAGTGGCATGGGAGAAGTCAGGGGCATATAGGACAGCTATGGACCCCTTACCTGAAGGTGTGGCCCTATCACATTGAATCAGACAGGGAGCAGAACAGACAGGATTACGTACCCACCCTTTATCAGTGATATGATAGTGACAGCTCAGGATCACAGTAGATGATGTCATCAAAATGGGACACCACAGCTAATCATCCCCTATCTATGGCGTAGAATAAACGCTGACGTTGGTACTAAGCCTTTCTATTTCAGTCAGCCTCCCCTCCTTCTCACCCCTCATCCTCCTCTCAGCATGATATGGCTATTGATGACATTTAGTCCCCAGCTCCCCCTGTTCCCAATATTTCTCTTTTCCCCAGCTTCTCGTCCCCCATCTCCCATCATCTTGGTGCTCCCATTGATGATGCCGTCCCTTCCTGTCCTCAAACCCACCGCCTCTACCTGCTACCCTGCCCCTCGGTCCTCCCCCACCCTCCCTGTTCCCTCACCTTGGTGCGTCCATTGATGACACAGTCCCCCAGCTTCCCGTTGGCAGCGCTGTGCATCACGACCTCGTCAACGTGTGCCATCAGCATGGCGATGCCCTCGCACCCCGGCTCGTGCCCCTCCACCCAGGCGATCTGGTCTCCGCGGATACTCCGCGAGGGGATGCTCCTCTGGCTGACCAGCTGACCCCCCTGGAACTTCCCGCTGCGGTTCAAACGCTCCACCTCGCCCAGCACCGACTCACCCAGCCGCGGCCCCAGGAAACTGTCCTTCACACAGATACCGTAGGAATTCATACAGGGCACGATGTACTGCTGTGCGATACGCTCCGCCGACCAGCCCGCCCCGGCCGGTAACAGTAGAGACTGGATGACGTTGGCCTCCACCGGGGACGTCTGGCCTGGAACAACCCCGGGGCCCAGCAGCGTCACATTGTGTCCATTGTGGTGCAGCTTGTTGTTGTGAGGGGTGGACAAAGGGAGGTGAGGGGTGGCGCAGTGGTTGTGGTTGCTATGGTTATTGTTGATGCTGTTGTCGCCGTTGCCAGCAAGCGGGAGGACAGCCTTGCCGGGTTTGGAGGGCTCCGCTTTGTGAACGTCGCTCTCCGCCACTCGTCTCCGTTTGCAGTCCGGGGTTATCGACTCGCCTGGTCCATAGGCCATCATACCTAGAGATCCTAAACCTGACCCCACTGACAAGCCACAACCTTTGGGCGTCTCCGAACCCATGACCCGGTTCTCCTCGCCTCTCCGCTTCCGATGGTGCAGCTGTTTGACCCGTGGGTCACCATTGGCCCTCTTCACCAGAAGAGCACATTTCTCATGTTGTGTTCTGTCCCCGTTCTCCATGAGGCTTGCTCTGTTGCCGAGGGGTTGCGCAAGGCCATTCAGTGTCTCCCCCACCCCCTTCACTTGCGGAGGGTTACCGTTGGGAGTTTGCGCCAAAACCCCACTGTGGATGCCCTCAATGGTTGCGGACGGAGACACGATCCCGCCGTTATAGAACGGCAGCCCAGTATTCGTCTGTTTCTTTAAAACCGTGATGCCAGAAGAGCTTGTTTTCGAAGCCAGACTTGAAAGTAATTCCGCGGCGGTGGCGCTCCCAACCGGCGCCATGCCCTGGCAGTAGCCGTTCAGTCCATTTAGTCCCATGTTGGTTTGGAAAGGGTGAAGCTCGGCAGCTCCGAATATGTGTTCACCGTTTGTCACTCTCTCATGGGAGGCTGAAAAACTGTGGTGTCCGTGGGAAGAGCTTGGATTTAAAAGGTCCGTGTGTTCCAAGCTCTCCATTTCATCTCGTCTAGTGCTGGATGCGCACGTAGCCCACGTCCTCGCCTCATTTTTTACGGGAGCCACTGTGAGAGAGCGAGTGTGCAGCACAACTGCCTAGGCTGCGAGAGAGGAGCGGTGTCACAGCTTTGGAAAGTTTCATATTAAAAAGTCTCCTTGCCTCCGTTTTTCTTTCATTCATGATTTTTCTTGAAATGGTTTCACATTTGTCTTCTATTGAAATGTTTTCTGATATTCAGAAGCTTGAGATGTTTCTAAAACAAAATGATACAATAATTACATGACTGTGATTACCGTTATAGCCTATAATAAGTAGGCTAATCGTATAGCCTAACATGCTTGGGACGAAATACTCAAGCTAAACATAAATCAGCCTAATTTTCACACCAGGCCTAGGCTATTCATATTCCATAAATTAAGAAACATGTAAAGGGACTCGACACTTGCTAGACAAATTTAACGGTAGGCCTAATATCTTATGTAGCGTCGCCTACATTTATTGACAAACTTTAAATAGGCCTAAATTGCTTTAAATATTATTATAATATATTATAATAATATATTATATTCAGACATTGGACTATAGTGGCTCGGGTAGTTAAATAGTAATTGATTTGTTACAACAGTTCAATCCTAAAATATCAACGCATGGGTCGCTTACAAATGGGGTTGTGTAAAGCGTCTTCATTTGTATTAAACAATATATTTCAGGCAATAACAACACATTAAAGTCATAATATGGATATCTGTAAGAATAATTCCCCACTTCACTATGAGGGGGTAAGCACCCTGTGAGAACAGCTACTCTGAAGAACGCATGCCACTCTCCCTTGTTATGCATTCACATGACTTACAGTGTATAGCTTGTATTCATAGCCTCTAACTTAGAAATATAGCCTACACGTGTTTGCATTCCTTCCAAGATACAAATAGCCTATATTGGATTATTTTGGAGTGAGTTTAGCTATGAAATCAATTCAACAACGTGCTTAATAATAGTAGCCCGGGCAAAATAGCCCTCTATCTGTCAGCTGATTGTACACTTACCTATTTGTAACGCAAAGCTACAGTAGCGTAGCCTACGTGACCGGCTGAGGGTACGTCTGTTATTTCCGGGATTGTCTTGCTTCTAGACGATTTTCTTTATGTTTAGCCTATAAATATCCAGATATGTCCACCACCCGGGGTTAAATTTGGAAACAGATACTTGTCCTGGGGAGGGAACTACCGCTTTTGCCGCGGGAGGCACGGTAGGTCCCCCTCAATCACCAAAAAGTACCCTCCACTACTCTACCGTGTCTCTCCGCTGGTAACTCCCCCTAGCATCTCTCTATCTCTCCCTCCCTCTCTCGCCTCGCTCTCACTCTCCTGTCCATGAACGACCCTATCAATTACACGTGCACACGAAGACGTAATGTGACACTAAACTGCTACAGAAACTAAATACTTTCCACCAATGTGTTTACGACTATTTATAAGGTCGTCTTCAATATGTGTTGGGGTTTATAAAGTGTAATATTAGGATCTAAAATGTAAGGGAAACAGTGGCGTGTATTCATGGATGCCAAGGGAAGCCAGGCTTCCCCAAATATGATAAAATTTTGTATCTTTCGTCTCTCTGTGTTTTCATAATTTTACTTCAATTCGCAAGTGGCTGAATCTCATCGGAGAAATCATCCGAGCGAGGGAAACAGCGACCCTCTGTCTCAGTATGTGTAGCCCATGTAATGTATCTGGTGCTGTCTGGAACAAAAGAGTATGACATGTTGCCGCGCTAGTATTTGATTGATGCCAGCAAGCATTTGGCCTCCCTTGATAATAATTTAAAAACAAGAAATAGCTAATCAGTGTTAAGCTGAGCTCAACTATGGGTTGTCCTGGCGCAGTGAAACGTCCGCTAAGGGAGGCCAGTTTGGATTTGGCTTTACACAAATCAAATCACATCCTAAGCAAAAGGTCATCATTATCAGAAAACTTGTCTGTTTCTGGTCTGCTTTTGTTGATGTCCTGCAGTAGCTAGCTTGCTAAATCGGCCCTTTCCTAAACCATGGATGGAGATGTGGATTTGGACTTGTGGTTTTGACTTAATTCTCTATACAGGCCAATGATTATGATGACAATTCTGATCCAACCATAAATTCATATATTGTGCCACTGGCCTGAGACATTTAAGTTCAATATTTAGCCTAGATGTAGCCTAGCAGGCTCACGTTAACTAGCTAGCTAACTTAGCTGGTTCATTGTTGCCCATGCAAGGAAGTTAGGCTAGCAAGCATTTTAGCTAGGGAGCCTATGAAAACTAAAACTAAATGTGTACTGTATGACAGAGCCATTGACCGATTTCCCAACATGAAAGAGAGGAGGATGGCATTGGCATTCAACTAGTAGTAGGGTGAGTCAACTTTTTTTTTTTACTTGTGCGTGCGTGCACGCAAGCACACACACACACACACACACACACACACACACAGAGAGAAATCAGTACCATGGACAGCCACATGATATGTAGCAACATTGATTGGACTCAATTGTTTTTGGTATCTTTACGTTTGTTTTCAGTGTATTAAACTAAGCATATATAGCCTTGTTGATTTTATGATGTTTAAATGTTTAAGTTGAAATGGTGCTGGAATAGCGGAGGCAGTGCTCCTGTTGTCTTTGTGCTGACCTGAGGTAACTCCTTGGTTCTAAATCAGTAGTCATTTAGTAAACTGTCGAAAACATTCACTTGCTTGACCATGCTGCAGGTCATATAATTGTTTGTTACATGCAATATTTGCTTTGTGGACATTACAGGACAGCAATGTTCCCTCTAAACTGCGTGTGTGCAGCCATGCACACCCTCCAGGTCTGCCACGCAGAAGAAATGCCAGGTTGTGCAGAGACGAAAGAGATTGAACTTCACTGAGTTCGACCCATTAGTTTGCACTATAGATCAACGTTTTTTTCTGTGATCGAATCAACATTATATCAGCTCCTTTTCAATGCAACAAACCAATGGGGTAGCCCATGAGTGGTCTTTCAATCACCCGCGAGTAAATGAGCTTTTCAGATCAGTTCAGATCAGAGCGCAGACCCGCACGTGTTGATATTCTTTGCTAGTTAGCGAGTTATTTGCCCAGTTATAGATACATATAGGTCAGCAATGTTTCTGCCTCCTACAAGAGCACAAAACGTGTAGGCTACATTTCAAGCTGTCTTTGAAAAGCCAGTCAGGTAAAAAGCGTGTCTTAATTAAAGGGACAGTGTTGTATTTTGAGACAGGCTTGAATATGCAAATAAGCCAATTGGCAGAGGGGTAGCCTACATTGTCTAAGTCTTTGTATGGTAACAATAATTAATTGTATTTTGTAAAGTGGTTTCTTGCATCGTACAACACAATACAATGCAATTTACAGTCACCTATTTGGCCGATGGTGTTACATATGAAGTAAAAAATCATGAATTCATGTCAAGCCCTTTATAATGTAAAAACGTTTTTAAAAGTCTCATGCAATGTAGGCCTGCATTGAACACCACATATAGGCTACTGTAGGCTATATCATAGAAATCAAAAGCTATTTCCATGTGAAAATGTTATGGGTTTGCTCCATTGGTTTTGTTGGTAGGCCTACATTATGCTCAAGTAGCCACAAAAGCCTATTGGCTACTGTCTAAAACTGTAAGGGTACAGCCTCAGTGTTCACTGTAAACTTGCGCTGGAAGTTGCACAAAATTCTCACAACTTTCAAGTTTCCACTCACAAGACTTAAAATTTGCTCAGTGCCCCAAAACATTAGAGGGAACATTGCCGGACAGATATTGCTCTCAGGTTTTGTGATGAAGCAAATGTATTTGAAGTTGAATTTATTCCACGACTGTGTGAATGTTGTCTTTTTGTTGTCACAGCCTTATTGTGGTGTATGAACTAATGGGTTATAGAGAAAACAACGCAAATATCACAACATGGGTTGTAATATGGCTTTTGTACTGGCTTGGCTTCCCCAGTGAATTTACCCACGCACCGCTACTGAAGGGAAAACCTCTGTGATACAATGTAACTGTTTTGAGGAAGTGGGCTATCATGAGCTTGGCAACAATGTAGGCTATCACATTCCTGTTTGTATGAAATAGGTCCAAAAGTCAATGATAGTGGCTATTAAGTCGTTCCCAATGCAATGACGAAAAGGCTTTGAAACCTTTTGAACTTTGTTATGGATTGGGCCTAAATGTAGGTCTACAGTGTTCTCAGAATTATTACATTATTCAGTGTATTGCTATGGGTGCACTACTACATTGAAAGTGTTTTATTTAAACTCTTATACATACAGTAGGCTATTACCCTGCTGACATTTTGGGTTTTTAAGAGATACACTAAATGTGCTTTGTATATCTTCATCCATGTACTGTAGTAGGCCTACAGAGGTAGGATCTTCATTTGATCATTCTCACAACAGGAAAATAATCCTGCAGCAACAGGAAATGTGAATTATTGTGTGGATTATCAAATAAATTGTCAGGGTAGATCCATTTTTTGTTGGGACAAATCGAGTCTGAAAATGTAAAGTGGAAATTACTAACTTTAGAAGCGTTTTTAAACCTAGAATACACTAAAAGTTTGCATTTCCTGCCGTGCAGGACATTTTGTACAACAACATGGTGATCAAATTAAGATCATACATCTGTATGTGTTGAAGGAGGAGGTGAGATAATGTGAGCCTGTGCAAGTGGATTAGTGCTCCACTCTGTGGGATTATAGACAGGGAGGTGTTTTGTCACCACAGAGCAAACTCTCGTCTGCCATTTTCCAGTAACAATGGGTACGGGCAGCCGACGTGTGGAGTGACTGGGTCACCAGCCTCACTGTCCATCCTCACACCTTAGCAGACACACACAGAGAGAGAGAGACAGGCAGGCACGTGTGCAAAACATACAGGACAATACAGACAGACAAACAAACAGACAGACAGACAGACAGACAGACATGCACACAGACCAGACAGAATGAGAGACAGAGAGAC